ATTAGCTGAATTATGCACGGGTACTTCGCTCAAGTGGAGGACGGAGAAGACGAGGAAGCCCGCTGGATCGAAAGAGAAGAAAAAATTCTGGCCGCGCTGGTCGATTGTTTCACGCTCGAGAAAGTCAGCCGAAATTTTCCTGAAACAGTCTGTTTTTGTTTCCCTTCCGTTTCGCGGCTACCGGAAATCGAATCGATTTCGCGTGCGATCCCGCTCGTGCTCCTTTTTATCCGGCACACACGACCCATTATGTAAGGAATACTCGAAGAAACTCTTTTCAGTTGCGCGTTGCGCCGTACGACGAAAGGGAGAGCCGATTGATAAAAGGGTCAGACGCGGGAAATGAACACGTACAATAGCGGCCGAAGGAAAAAATATCGGCGCGACGGATTCCTCCGAGGAAAAAGGGGGTCTTTCTCTCTCTCTCGCTCAAGAAAATCTCTCGTTTTTCTGAATCGCGCGCGATGGACAAAGATTTAGCTCCTCTTTTGTGTAAGGCCTGCGCCACTTCTCTCTATTGTGCAAAAATTGGGCCTCTTATACACGGGCGAAGGCGGAAAGGGATAGCCAAACGGGTTTTTCTCTCGATCCGTGAAAATATAAAAAGTGATCTCGAGGGCTGCTGGGGCACGCGGAGAGAAAAATCCAGCAGCTGTACTGTGCCGATATATTGTGTAGCGCGACTCAGAAAACGTCCATTGTCCAGCCTCGTGCATGCTCTTGTTCCGTGTGCTGTGTTGTGTGTTTTTTTTTCGTCGGCAGAGAAATTCTTCGATGAAAGTGCTGCTCCCTCACGTGGAAATCATTGAAAAAATAAATTTGAAAATCTGGGTCATTCGTTGCATCTGTCGAGAATATAGCTGTACTCGTATGCAAATGATGGCCTCATCGCGACACTTTCCGATTTCAGGCGAATCAACCATTGGAATTTTTCAACCATTGAAATTGTATATTTGCAACGCGCATCCACGTCGCTAAAGTGTCGTAACGGCATCGATTTCTCTTTTAACGAAAAACAGGCGTGCGCTTGCGATCACGATCACACGGAACGCATCGACGAAGAAATCGGTTAAAAAAATTTCCGAGCTTGATCAATATTTGGATCCCTCGCAGTTCGCTAAGCATCAACGCTTTCCGAATAGCGATCGAGAGGGGCAAGAGCCGCATCACTTGGCGCGCACACACGTGCAGGAGGCTGCATACCTCGGGCGATCCCCTTTCACCGCACAAAAGACGGACGTGCCGGGCACCGATCGCGTGCAGTACGAGCAGGGTCGAAAAAAAAGGAATCCTTTAACGCAACCCCGCGCACACACGTGTCTACGTCTGTGTGTCATGCTGCTGCAGCTGAAAGCCGCACAATGTTTCCCGAAATCTGAGGGATTTTTGCCTGCAGAGCGCAGGAATATTGAATGGAAACGGACCGCATCGCTCAGCCGTCGCTCAGCGAAGCACCTGTGCAACGACACTTTCTCACGCTTGGAAAGCAACGAGAGAAAGAGAGAAGCGCGGGCGATTCGATGCAACAAAAGCGACATACACAGCAAGCTCGTAAAAGTTTTACCAAATGTATAGCAAATTTGTAATGCTACACGGACCAGAGACGATTGACTTTCATGTCGATTCCAGCCAAGACAATGGCAAGCCGAGGAAACCTATCTTTTTTTCTCTATCTCTGCGAAGGTTTCAATGAAAATTCAAGACGAAGCAGACAGAGTACAATGCTGTCTCTTTCTCTCTCTCTCTCTCTCTCTCTCCGGCGTCGGTATTCGCGCACCGTTAAAATTAATCCGATCGTTAAAACGGAAATATACGGCGTCGTAAAAGCGCGTGCACCGAAAGACAGGACTAGTTGTAATGGCCCAACGCGCGGAGTAATTTAATCGTTATACCTTTCGTCGGAAAGATGAGTTTGACGAGTTGACCGAACACTTCTCCGATTCCGTTGGGTACGGGTACAAATCGACTGCGAACGACAGAGAGGAGATAAATTAGAAAGCAGATATAAAAGAAGCAACTTTGTTTGGCTATTCGGGAGGCCTTGATTTCGGATAAAAGGCAGAGAGAGGACTATAATTTTTTAACAGGCTCGCGCTCGCACGTATGAAATGCCCTACGATTCATAAAGACGCAACTGAAAGGAATGCGAGGTGACACGCATCCATTAAATTCATATTGAGAATACAAAGTATAGAAAGGAGAAGTATTCTCGAGTGATCATTCATCTGCCCTGCCAATTGCGTGTCTAATTGCCATTCAAAGTATTCACCGAGACGTAGATACGACGGCACGTCGGTTCGGCGAGGGCGCTAAAAACTCGAGAGAGGCTGTTATGATACTTTGTACTCCCGTACTCCAAGATTTGTTTTTTAACGCGTCGGAGATTTATGCGCGCGCGAGCAGCCAGTTGATGCCTATAAATGAGAGACGGGAGCACTTTTATGATCGGCACTTCTTGCTTTTCAAAGCGCGAAACCGTAACAGGCTGACTGCTGCTGCTGCTGCTGTCGCTGCTGCCGCTGCTGCCGCTGCTGCCGCTGCTGCTGCCGCTGCTGATGCCGCTGTTGCTGCTGGCCGACGAACTGCGACTTAAAGGCGATCCTTTGTCATTATAATGGCCCATTTTTTCAGTGCTTCATAAATGTCCGAAGCTGTATACGTTTTCAGACTTAGACGACTTCTACTTTGTCTGACAAACTGATGCCAAAATATGTTCTTCGTTTCTGTTTTGTCAATTTCGTTCGTATATTCGATAACATTTCCAGGTGAAAGCCAACCGAAAGAAAAATTTTTTGCGTCATTGATTCATCGTTCAGTTGATATCAGCGTTAAAATTAACGACAACACTCCTAGATAAAATTGTGCTTTTAAATGACGAAGGTCGTGTCAACCACTTTGTTTTTTATGAAAAGCAATCTCCCTTGAATCTTCTGATTAACTAGTAGCTCCACGACTCGTAATCACTTGAAGAGTAAAAATGCAAGAGAAAATTGCCATTTTGACTTCAGCATCAAAGTTAAAGAAGTAATTGCCATATTAAATGCTTCCACGAAGCAAACGAGAAGATACACTGGGTATACATCCTTCAAATTGTCTTGGACGCTCGGCAGAAGCCGCAAAACTCAATCTGCCACAGGACACATCCTTAAAAAGGTAGAGTAAAAAGTAGAAAATCGGTAGCATGAACGTACAGAAACGCCCCGTTTAGCCGGTTAATATTCGCACATCTCGCGAAACGAGATTTTGAAATACGCTTTTCGCAGCCGGCTGGTCATATATTTTTGAGAAGGGCGCGCGATCCGCCGCGTTTTAGGCGGAACGTATCCTGCACTCGGGCTGGCTTTCATTTGCAGTAAACGATGATAAAGCGTTCGCGCCGAGCCTATCATCTTCTCGCCGCGCGCCGATAATTGATACACAGTTAACGAGCGACAGAGTGAGACTACTATGCTGCGCTCGCCGCGAGAGGGGGGAAAAAAGTGTGGGGCTTGCGCCGCGACGCAGTGGGTAATTAAGAACACGCTTGCGAATTTATGCGCCGCTAAGAAAACGAAAGTGAGATTCGATCGTGTGCGCGTCTCTTGCTTTTTTTAATGTGCGTGCCTCGATTATCGCGCGCTGAACGAGTTTTGAAGACGTGCTAAATCTGACGGTAGCTATACGTTCGGACCGACGACGAGAATCAAACCGCTTTATTACGTTCCGGCAGTATAACGAACTTGATAGGGTGAAGATGTAACGTCTGCCATTTTATTTTGGATCATAAATTTAGCCACTTCTTTCCCAGTATCATTATTCTTACATGGCTTTAAAATTCTTTCAAAATATATAACGATATTGCATCTTAATCAGTGAACCATACACAGTTTATATTAAACATCCTATTTTTTAAATTACTTCTTAAGTCAATAAGTAATCCAGTAATACTTAGAGCAATAAAGACATCACTAAATTATTGCATGTCGCTGTTTTAAGTAAATCCGGATTTCCTTCGGATAATGCTTAGTATTACGACTTGATATTGCTATTCAAATACATTTTTCAAGCGTCAACGACCATCTTGTTTCTCTCGCTGGCTTCTCATTGCCTAATGCCGGCCAGTTCAATTTTATCGATGACTTTCACGTAGAAAAAGCTGAGCAACGCGACGGTGCACGACGCTTCGAAAGAGGAAAAAAATTAAGTTTTCACAAATTTCCAATTGATAATGGTGTGAATAAGCGTTAGAGAAAAGAAAATGTATATTCGTGATCGCGACTACGATATAGGATGCTATTTTTCACTACTCCGCGCGATCGGCAAAGCGAGCGCACTTCGAATCTTATCTTTACGTACACGCGAGAAGAAGCGATTTCACCTCGCTCTTCGCTCCCGCGCAAACGCCCGCACAAGGCTCAAACCGCCCTCTCGCTTCTCGCTCCAGGATCGAAACTAAGTGTGCCTCTTGCGGAACTTTTATACACTGTCTAATAACGGCGGTATTATCGTCCTTATAGCTACAGATATTTCAGGGCTTCTATGTTACCGATCATGGACACTCTTTACGTACTCGCCGGCCGCCTGGCGCGTTTCCATCAATTGGAACTTACCGTCGCTAGATATTTAACTAACTAAAGGTAAAGTATCAGTCAATAATAACTCTGTCAAGCTTTATATTTAATTTGATTTTATCTATGTACGCTTAGAAAACTGATAATTCTAGTGTTTCGCTGAAGTATAATTGTTGAAAAAGACGAAAAATTGTAAGGAGATAGAAATTTTATTTTATTTATCCACCGCTGTGCCGATAATATCGTGTACAAATTTATTGCCCATTTTATGGATAACATCATACACTTGAGCAAAATGATGCGATGACATTGAAACACCCAGAATTGCCTTTTACCTGGCAGTCCTGCCGTACCCGTCGATCTCGAGGTGAACAGACCAGCGCATGCGCGCAGCGCCACTACTTGGGCCAGTGCACAGCGTATGCCAGTTGCCAGTCCCGTTAACTGGGCCATCGCGTAAGCTTCGTCTTTCACTTGGTGCGCTTCTCGAGCTCGCGAGTGCCCTTGAAAATTGGTATCCGTTGAAGCTGATGAGAAGTTTGCCATCGCAAGTGAATCGTCCGTTGGTCGGAGCATTAACGTCCAGACGGTCCAGCTTACTACCTCCCTGGTCGTCTCCAAGGTGCTGCGTGAGCGAGCGAGCTGAGAAAGCGTGAGAGAAAGAGTTGGGGCGTGTGTGTGCGTATGTAGTCAGGCATAGGTTTCGCTCCCACCTGAAGCGCCTTCGCGTACGTACGGCAAATTGCAGTCTTGAAAACCAGGTGCCGCTTGCCCTGTACTCGGTTGAACCTTGCTTTTCTGCAGGGAAACACACGTAGACGCGTGCACTTGGATGTCGTAATTTTTACGCGGGTTTGTACGCGGTTCCCCTTCTCTCGGTATCTCGTCCTTGCGTAATCTGACAGCCACGTAGATTCGCATCTCCTTTTTCGGCATTCGCTGTGGCAACGCGCCTTCGACCAGCAAGTATAACAAAGCCGGTTCCGCAAGAAATCAGCTTTACTCGTTAAAGATGAGGAATTGCATAGCCATGAATTGGCGGACGCGTACTGTGCTGACGATCGTGTCCTTGGTGAAAATGCTGTGCAGTGCCGTACAGGCAGCGCAAATACCACCTCTGCAAGCTACGACGGGACTGACTATAGCAAATACCGTTCAAATCGAGTGTGCGAGTGAAGCGATCATCGTGCACGTATTCACGGAAGGGAATTCAAAATTCCACGGACTGGTGTATCCCCGAGGCTTGTCGAAAAATAGCTCGTGCCTGCACGAGTATCAGAGCCAAGACAGTCCAATTACGTACAACTTGCCGCTGAGGTCCTGCAACACCATGCCTACGGAACTGGAAGACGGTGGAATCGAGTACTACAACACGATAGTGGTGCAGCCGCATTTGAAGTTAGTTACGAACCAAGGCAGAGGCTTCCACGTGCGGTGCCGTTATCAAACTCGAGACAAAGTCGTGTCCAACGATCAGACGCAAATGGCTATGCTGCAATCATTGCCGTTGCAATCGGTCGCTCCGGTGCCAAGCTGCTCAATGAAAATCTATAGCGGCGAGCCGTCGGCGCATCATATTGCGGAAAATGTCAAGATCGGCGACCTCCTTACACTCGTCATCAGTATCGAGAAACAAAAGGAATTCGGCCTCCGGATAACCGACTGCCTGGTTCGCGATGGCATTGGATGGGGCGAGCAGCGTTTGATTAACCACGAAGGATGCCCGGTCGACAACGAAATCATGGGACAATTCAGTTACAGCGAAGACAAGACCGAAGCTAAGGTTCAATTTCAAGCGCACAAGTTCCCGTACACTCAGAGCGTCTATTACCAATGTAACGTAAGCCTGTGCTCTCAGAACACAGGTGGCTGCTCCGACACGCCTCCATTGTGCAACGAAATAGCTCGAAGACGCAGGGACACGAAAGACGCGAGTAATGCTAATTCGGAGACTGGCGTACCTGCCACCATTGAAGTCTACAGTGGTTTTTATGTCAATGACGCGGACGTTGTCCCAAAACCCGATTATTACGACGTTTCGAAAGAAAAAGCTTTCGACGATACGAATGCCATTTGCATGTCTCAAAGGAGCTTCGCAATTGGCATAGCGATAGCCAGTCTCTTTTTGCTACTGGCGATTATTGGAGCAATCCTAATCTTATTAGGCAGAAGACGACATAAGAGTATCTCCACTTCAGGTTCTTCGATCTACAGTGGTCCTTACACCAATACTGCCTACAGCCACAGCAGCTAAATCGATTCTCTAACAGGCGCTGATTATACTCGTATTATACGGCGAACGAACGAACGCCAAGGTGTATTTTATTCATTTCTTTTCCGTGTGCTATTTTTGTAATCAGCCGTCGCCGTGCTTTATTTACTTATTTTCTTTTCAGTGTCTTTGCTTCGTAATATTCCAACTTTTCTCTACACACTGACTAACACAGAAATAATTCATCGACGACAGCTTCTAACTAAAACACGAATAAACGTTTTTATGACGAATAGCACAACTGGAAGACTAAGGACCAACTGTATAAGAAAACTAATTAGGACAATCAGCATTTCAAAGATATGTGCTTGTTGTCTTACACAGGATATCTGAAACAGTTGGACGTGTAGACAAATATTTCTATTTGCATTTCATTACTTCTTTTGACATTGACCACTTGAAAAGTGATCTAATGCCTGACAGAACTAATAAAATGCCAACTCGAGCTACTCTTATAGCTTTGAATACGTTTCGCATCGATACAATTGATTTTATAACAATTATCTATCTTTCATCTCATCGTTCATTTTCAATTTCACTTTCACTTCCTTACACAGACTTACTCATATTCATATAGAATGGTTGACTGATTTTGTATCCTCTAAATAATTTTAAATTTGCTAAATACCTAAACGGCCAGGAAGGTGGTAAGTTAAATTATTTTATTTTATAAATAAACTATTTAATTTGTAAAATAATTTTATTTGGACTTAATGACACGGATGAATATCTGTCGATGGTTAATTTTTCATGAGGTAATTTTCCTCGTAAAAATTTCGATCAGCCCGCGATGGGGCATTCATAAATAACGATGGCCTATGAAGTGGGACTCCTTAACCCTCACTACGCAATAATATTATTAATTTTTTTCATTTTACATTTATCGTACACTGATTCAGATTTTACTGTAAACGAATTACAAATGATTTTTTGAAATGTTGTAATTGGCATTTGTCTACCTCGAAATATCTGTAACACTATAATTTAACCCTTTGCGGCATGTATGAAGGGCTCTAATAAATCGTTGCTCACGGGGATTTTTAATATTTTATCCTTCTAATATGTTAATAAATGTATAACTATATCAAATTATCGATTTTTAGTCGCCATTTTTTCAAAAAATGGCTGAAAAGTGCACCAAAATGACGATTTTTTAGAAAAAAAATGTGTGTCGCAAAGGGTTAAAAACAAAAAGAAATTTTTATGTCATCTACGCTCATACAACATATCAGACGCTTAAACACATTTAATATAAGTTTTTTTATACTATGCATTGAAAGAAATTTTACACTGTTTTGTATTTATTTATCCCCTTCATGTTTGTATGCTGTATGAAAATGAGATTAGAATTAAAGATATGAAATACCTATACGTACATACTCACACATATACTAGCAAATACACATACATCACATAACTAGATTAGAGGCTATGTACGGATGCGAGTAACAGATAGCAATCATTAGATCTTCATATATTCCGTGCGGATTAAAACCAGCTGAAAGAACATCGGAGCCAGTCTGAATTAACCGACCATTTATTTGATATTTACGAGACCACGGTATTTGCGAAACTTGCAAAAAAAGAAAATATATTTTTAATATTTCGAATGTCCTTAAATGCTTTTTTTGTTCGAACTTTCCGTTTTATCGAGATCGATGAAACTTGCTCATACCTGTCTGACGAAAAATTTGTAAAAAGAAATCTTACCTCATCACGTGCATCAGTTTACTGCTGAAAATATTCTTTTTCGCAAGAGCAGTCGAGAATACTTCTGCCTCTAGAAAACATACGTATCCAGGTCCTTGAGTGAATTACATCGTAGATAAGTCGATGAACATAATTAACGGTTTCACGACTCTAATACCAGTCAAAATTTTCTATTATTATTTTGACTATAGTTATAACTAGTACCATGGTCTACAAAGTTTGTTACAATAGCTTTTGTTTTATAACTCGCCAAAACATGAACAGCAGATATTTTTGTGAAGTCTATGTTGCAGCATTTCCAGTTGAATTGAGAAAGAATATAAATTAATTTACATGCTTTCTCACTTTATATCATGGTTTTTTGAAACTAATCGAAGATAACAAAAGCCATACAAGCTCAACGACTTAGGTGAGAATGGAATGAACAGCATGTAAACTTTATCAATAGTTTTGCATCTCGCAAATATTTTTACAGTAATATTCGAAAATGGAAGGTAATACATAAAAAGAAACTTTCTTCTTCATTATGCAAGAATTCAGCGCCAGAATCCAGTCTTGCTGCCTCCCTTGCCGACATGAAGGTTCTGAGTGAGTGCGATAAAAGAAAACGAGAAAGTATGCAAGAACAGTACATGATATCCCATTTTTATTGAAATTATATCATGCGTGGTGTGAGGGTTTTGCGTGTGCAATTAAGTAGGCTCACTTTACACTCGGAACTCTGTATTAATATACTTCGTTCTATTTGGTGAAATAAACGTATATAAGGGTATTTTTAATGTTTGTATTACCCTCAAATACACGATTCCTATTTTCCTTTTTGTCCAATTTCTATCTTTTGACCCTCATAACGAAAAGTCTTTCTTTAAATGAGTTGGCAATCAAATATATCTTACATAGAAATAAATATATCCAAGAAAATATTTATAAGTTGAAATATTACAAAAAAAAAACATGGTAATAAATCCAACCATACGGGAGTGTTTTTAAAACTTTTCACTTAAAAATGTTAATCTTTGAAAAAAATAATTTATTTTTTATTTAAAAATGAGTAACTGTCTTTTTTTTCGACTTCAAAAAGAAAGGGGTTTCGTATTCAATCTGGATTTTCATATTTACCTATATTCGCGCATTACCAACTTGATTGAAGCATAACTTAACGAGCAATTACACAATATTGAAGTCGACTTTTTTATATAATCTTATTTAGTTTTACATTTAGTATGTAGAAGCTTAGTGATGCAGGGTTTTTAAAGGTAAATAAACTTTAGAACATTTGTACTGTAAAAAGTCCAATATTCTTTATTTAATATTGATAAAATATGTAATAAAGAATGGATAAATTAAAGTATTATTAGAATATATAAATTATTCTGAATGTGATACAATTTTATTGTAATCTATTTTCTACTATAAGCTAACTTATTTACATATGACTGCGAGATATTATGTTTAACTAAATATATTTACAAGAATTGAAGTAAGGTGTATACATTAGAAACTTTATTTCATGTCGCGATATTCATGAAGTTTAATTTACTACATCTATATTTTAGCTGTGTTTAAAATTTGTGTACGTTTATTAACATACAAAAAAATTAAAACTACCGTTAACCTATAATGCCTGCATATTTTTACAATCAATTCATAAACAGATACTTTTCATTTTATTAGAAAAAGTTCAATAATCACTGGAAATTATAAAGTAGCGAAACTTTGAAAAAACTAATTTAATTTTATATTTATTGTCTGAAGCACTACGATTTCTAAGCCAAAATAATGCCAAAAATATTTTGTTTATATTGAAATAGTAAACTCATAAATAGCCTCATAGATTATTCACATCCAATGCCAGCAGACCAATTACAAATTCCACCAATCGGATCAAATGATAATTTGTCTGGACACGTGTATTCGGTTCCTATAATAATGCCATTTACCATTTTTGCGCACGAAATGAATTTTTTACAAGAATCCGGGTGAGGAAAATTCCCTTGATCAAGACACTTTACGAAACCTCTACTAGTGATAACAAGTTTTCCATCAGATCCACCAACAAATCGTTCTTCTACATCCTCGTAATAGTCATAATCAGTAACTGCAGGTTTTAATGGCCGAGGCTGAATCTGATAAGAAGTATCTGATGCGACTTTATCAGAATCATACCTAGGACCTTTGCGACGTCTATCGGAAGAAATTACCCTACTTGAAGTGGTACCTGTAGAGACTTCTGCTAGTTGTGGAGATATTGTCGTACTGATCTTGCGTCTGAAGTTGGGCTTGATGACGGCTGGTTCACCTATTGTGGTAATTGGTTCAAATATTAATTAAATAATAATTTACAATGATTGCACGCTGCAACATATATTAGCCACATTTTATGCATTATTAAGGCAGAAAAGAATGGATAATTTCGCACCACACATTTAAGCTGACGTTTATAGCATATAGCGTATTAAAGCTTTTTCCTCACTTATATACAATGCAGCGTAGTTTTTGTAAGAGTAATACATAGAGAAAACGCGATGGATAGACATTAATGATAAAAAAAATCCATACACCTTAAATAATAATATGTTTAAAATGGTAAATGATGCATTAGCCAGACAAATATGTGTCAATTGGATTGCAGACAAAGTCGAATTCAACGCGAGAAAATGTGAAAAGTGTAGGATGATTTGTGAAAAGAACCAAAACCATTTCGTAGTCGAATGATGATGTATGGCAATGATTTGGCAAATGAGTTAGTTTCTTATGCTTATATAGTTCGTAATTCATAGCAAGGCACTGGATAGTATAAGAAACCGTAAGAAATGAACCGTCATATGTAGAAATAGTAGTATATTTGATAATGGTCAAATTTACGCAATTTCCACAAACACAGTCGTAACCCCTTATTAAGACAGATTCAATCACATTATTATAAATATCGTAGCCGAGGGCTCTGTACCCGAATTAGACGCCAAAATCGATGCTGGTGGATCGGCTAATATAAGTTCCAAATTTTGTGGAATTCCACTCTGATCAGCCGTTATTCCCACCACGCGGGTATCTACACCGAAATGCAGAGGATAGATTTTCTTCGTAGACGGTAACGTCGCGGTTGACACGCTTGAATATGAGCCTCGGGATAGCAGAGCGTCTCCTGGTCTTCGGAATATGTTTAATCCTGGATTCCTCGAGGGGTTAACCTGTTTTGATTGTTACGTTATTACTAAAAAAATGAGCTTACTAAATACTGTGCAGGATGTCTATGTTTTTGAAAATAAACAACATTTTAATACTTGGTGCAATTATAACATGTGCTTAAAAAGTGAAGTAATGTTGAACATTCAGTGACGTGTATTGCTGTTATCACTAGAATAACAATTTTCAAATTTATAACTAATGCGGTTAAAGCACACACTAAATTTAATCTCACTTATAAAATGTACAAGTTTTTTCCTCAACTAACTTTTTTGAATAAAGATCGACTATTACATGTAGATACATCCACATAATTTATTTCGGAAAACAGTTACAATGTTAAAATGAAAGAGTCAAGTAGTAAAATGATGCATATAAAAATAACTATAGTTTTAAAAGTGTCATAAAGGAAAATAAATTAATTTGTCAAAAGAAAGGTAGTTGAGTAATTCAATATTGACACATATTTTTAAAAAGCAGTGTATCAGATTTGATATGAAAATAAGGAATCGCATGATCGAGGTAGTGGTTATTTTAGCGAAGGCACTCGTTGTTATTTTCGTGGCTTGCTTTTGTTGCTCTAAGAATCTTTGTTCATTCAAAACTGACCTCTCGAGGATCATTGACAATAACAGCTTCAGGTACCGAAGCACTAGTCTCTAAGTCATTGTCAGTTTTTGATTCCGTGCGCCTGATTCTTTTGCGGATGACCTTTTTCATTAACCATCTTCCTTGTGAAGAACTCTCTGTTGATTGGTGCTTGGTTGAACCTCGATATATTAAAATCCGCTGTCTATGAACTTTGTTCTTATCACTTCCGATAAATGGCTTTTTGTCTTTGACTAAAGAATTTTGAGAATTCATAATGGCACTTTGAATCGTTTTCAAATCAAAATTTCCAAATACATTCTGATTAGTTTTTGGTTCGCTATTTACAGAATTTAGTATTTTCAAAGCAGATTCAAAATTGGACGTTGGATCATTGTTTCTCTGTACATTTATTTTATAAATTTTACTATCTGTATTGAAATTCTCTTTTAAATTATCGACAGTCTGTAAGTTTGTTCTCTGACTGGATATTTTTGGCAAAATATCACGTTCTGCTACATGATTATCTTCAGTTTTTAAAATAGTTACATTAGATATATTATAATCATCGTTTTTCAAAACTTCAATTTTCAAAACAGAACCGAATCCAGTCATGCTTAATTTTTTTTCAGGAATTTGCAAAAAGAATAATTCGTTATCCGGACCATCTACAAACCTTACTGGCACTTTTATAACTCTTTCAGTATCATTTTGATTCGAAGGAGTCATCAATGGAGTAAACAAAAGACTTTTTGGACTACTTTCTGGTGTATAAAAACTATTATTAAAATTATTGTCTTTCTTTGGACGTTCAGTCATAAAATCACTTATAATTTTATGAACGGTAAAATCCTTGGAGACAGGATGATGAAGTTTCAGCTCATCTAAAACCTAGAAATCAGAATAGATAATGCATTCCTTCTGTTTTCTATATATTCAAGACTGTCCATGGAATAAGTAAGAAGAAGAGAGACAGAGGCAGAGTAGCGAAGTAAATACTATTAAGCCAGAGGATAGAGTAGTATTTGAAAATGAAATTTCAAGTGTACTGTAGGCAATCGTAAAGATGGAATAGCTGAGTTACAGCAATAGAGTTTGTCAACAAATAATTTAATAACAAAGTGTGTGGTTAATGGCCAATCAAATTGCTAAAGACTGATTCAATTTCTATTGTTGATGATGATTCTTCCCCAGACTCTGTCGTAAATTTTCTTTCGCTGAATTCACTCTCAATTGGTAAAGTTGACCATTCAACACTTCGCTCTGTTGATAATCCGCGAGGTATTTCGTTTAAACTTTCATCTTTATGAATTCCATTTGGCCTTCGTAAAAATAAACGAGGTAATGGTGTTGTAATTTTCGGAATGTAAGTTGTTGACGTTAGTGACGAATACTTCTTTTTAATTGAAATTTTCTGTCTCTCTGTCGTTGCTGATTCTACAATTGACGTAACAAGTCTTGTAACTACTGGTTTTGAAGTTGATGCAGGTATTGAATTGTCATTTTTTACTTTGGCTGTGGTACGATGTAATTGATGTGCTCTTTTAACTGCATCAGCAAAGTAATCGAATTTTTTTGTAGGTATTAACGTTTCATGAACACTACTTTCTGTTGTTGTTGTAGTAATTCTAGATGAATAACGAGGAGTAATTTTAGTTCTGGTTACAAAATTTTCAAATTCTTTCTTTTCATCAGCCTTAATTCGAAATCTTGCCCTTGACTTTGGATTGGCAGAAGACGGTACTCTTTCTGTAATTCCCTCGTTCGTTTCTTTTGTTTCTTCTAAATGTAAAACTTTTGATCGATTCTGAAGTAAAATACTTTCTGGTGTGTTAAATGATAATGAAGTTTCAAACGGCTCTGTTACTAGGTAAGATTGTTCTGTGCTTGTTTCATTCGATTTAATATCTTCATTTGTAAAATTTGTGGGTGCAGCTGAAGCTGGCCGATAGCGTTCAAAAAGATATTTTCTTTTGTTAAAAATTTCATCAGGTGTATCCGGTCTAGTAGTAGAGATAGTTGTATCCACATCAGGTGATAATGTTCGGCGAATAGAATATCTTGATCGTGGCCTTACCGTATTGATTTTGCTGTAAGTATTTTCTGAAGGTTTTGAAGTAGTGTCATCTATTGACTTAGTAATAAATCTGAAGCTACCTCTCCTAGAAGTTGTTGTTACTTTTTGTTTCTGTTCATCAAGAGGTCGAAGTCGTCTTATACCTTTGCTTCGCCGGAAGTCCGTGTCGTTTTGGGATTCTTCGATAGAATTTGGTGTAGTAGACGGCCGTTTTCTCAATAAAACTTTTCTTGTGCGTTGCTGTAGTGTTGAAAGTGTAGCTCCATTGGTCATATCTGCCGACGTTGTCGTTTTTGGTTGTATGGTTTTTATGAAACTAGTTGGTATTGTAGTTCGAATGAAGTCTTCTAAATTCGGAACAGTAGGTTCATGAGTATTCCATAAATATGGAGGTACAGTTGTTTGTAGTGAAGACTCTAAAGAGTTAAATGTTTCATCTTCTACATGGTTCGTTGTTGTTTCACTCGGAATAGGTTCTGTTACCTCTATTATAAAACGAGTATTCCGAGAAGTTGCATCTTCCACAGGTTTTGTATTAGCAATAGTTCTATCAAAACTGTACTCGGTGATAGTTGTTGGTCTTCGAGTATTGGATGTTGGTTGTCTTATCAAATTAACGTTTCTTATAGCTTGAGCTTTGCTGTCAAAGCTATCAGCTGTTTGCTGATCTAATCGAGTTCTTGATCTTCTATAAAAATTTTTTTGTCTTATTGGTTGTTCTGAAGTTGTTTTTAAAACTAGCGTTTCCTCTAAATCACTAGCAGCTGTTGTTACTCTAAATGGTCTTCGATACTTTCTACTAGGTGTATTAGCAGGTATTATCTGCTCTTGTTCATTTAAAGGTCTTCTAGAGCTTAAATTCCGTGAATTTATATCTTGCAGTTTGTATCGACTAGAACCTCGATTTCTTGTTTTGGACCTACTTACCGCTGCACTATCTTTTTGTTTTTCCTGTAATTCAGAATCGTTTTGCAGATCTTCACCTTTAAGGTTTGCGGTCTCATCATCAACTGTGCTTGTCAATTTTTCCGGATTTCGCGGGCGCGTTCTTGTGCGTGTTTTAGGTGCTTTTGTTGTAGTCCGTGCAACATTTTTGGAGCGTGTACTCACCTTAGATCTTGTCGTAGATTCATATCCTCTCAACGTACTGCGAGTAGCTTCTGTTACTGTTGTTGTGGGTGAAGTTGGTCTAGTTCTTCGAGGGAATCCAAAAGGTCGTGGCTGCGATACTGCTGCTATAGTTTCCCGTGTGCTTGATTCCGTTGGAATAACAGTCATCAAAGGTTCGGTCACGCTGTTATCTATAATATTAGTATTAGGTGCGAGCGTTGTTTCATAAATGCGTTTTGTGGCGTAAGGCATTGTAGTAGTGATGACTTTTTCGTCGAAAAAAGGTGTTGTTAATTTCATTGTTGGCGATAATTCTTCTGAATATAAACGAGCCGTTGAAGGAGTTTCTGTCGTGAAGGGAATTATACTTATTTTACCAGATTCTCCTACAATTGTAATAGTCTTTCCCTCCGTCACAAAATCATCAATAAGTTTTTGTGAAGAAGAACTTAAAGTTGTTGGAGTGTGTTCACTGCTAGTTTGTTCAAATTCCTTAACAGGCGCACTTGTTGTACTTCGAAAACGATTTGCACTGACGTATCTAAAACACATTATCGTTCACATTAGTATAAATTTGAAAATAATAAATGACATGAAATTTACATTCAATGATGTACCTTGATTTCGGCGTTGTCGCATCTTCTTCAGTTTTTGCATTTTTCGGAGTACTCTCTTTAGAACTTAAAATATTTATCAATAATTAGCTTTGTTAATAATTCTAAATAGCCACGTATACATAATAAATTCTTTGTCAAATAAATTACCTTGAGCTTCGCCTAAACGAATGAGTTGATTGACTCTTGGTAGTCGTATCTAATTCTTTAATATCGTCACTGTTATAAAAAAATTAATTTTATATTAATTTTGAATACTAATATTTATTATTATGATTTTTATCAATAGATTATTACTTTACAGACTCAGTTGATGTCGGCCTTGTTCGCCGAATATTTACATAGCCCGGAGTAGATCGATGAGTCGATGAAGGTTTTTCTTCGGGTACATTCTGTATTGATTTTTCTTCTGATGAAGCTACATCAGTATTATCACTATTTTCTTCATCGTCTGTTTCATCATCGTCTTCAAACGATTCATCATCAATTTTTGTAGAAGTTGTTGACGAACTAAAAATAAATATTTATCAGAATTAATTAAGCTAAAAAATATAAATAACCAAATTTTTCAATTTCACAATACCTATGACGTTCAATGGTAACATATTTTGGCTTGTTGGATCGTCTTAAACCTTTGACTTCCGGGACATCCTCTAATCCTTCAAATTGTGATCTTCCGGGCCCATTTACAAACTTAGATCTTGAGGTTGATCTATTTATTACTTTTTCTTCTATTTCTTCTTCCTCATCGTCTTCATCAACGTCATCATCCTCGATATTAGCGGTTTTTCTACTACTAATTGATAATCTTGACGACGGTAATCCATAAAGATTACTTCTACTCGACTGTCGATTTAAAACTCTTTCGTACAAACTTTTACTGATCGTGGCTGGAGTCACTGACCCATTTTCTTGATTTATTCCAGAATTTTTTTCTTGCAAAGCTAATTGTTTTTCCAACTGCTCTATACCTCCTGAAAATTATATTGAATCTAATCAATGTTCTAACAAAGCAAACTTCCTATCTTAGTATAAAACTCACCGGCTTTTTTAATGAGGTCAATAAGCTCTTTTATCACTTTTGGATCCTGTTCTTCATCTGTGAAATCATCTGTCGATCGAGCGGAACTGGATATTGTAGAGGGAGTAGAAGTAGTTGTCGTCGAAGTAGTTGTTGGTCGACTTCTGCTGATTATTTTATAAAGCAGGGATCGAGCTGTGGTAGTGGTAGTTGTTGTAACTCGGGATTTTTTTAATTTTTCGTCCTCTTCTTTACTTTTCTCAATTTGGCTATCATCCTCTTCTGTTTCTTCAATTTCTTCATCATCCTCCTCATCTTCTTCAATTATATCTTCTTTTTCCGTAGTTGTACGTTTAGTTGTTGTTGAAACCGTAGCAGATTTTGCTTTAGGGCATACGACATTCCTTGGGTAATCGCAAGAGTCCGCCAATTTATTGAACACGAGCCCTAAAAAATTAATTCAGTAAATTTTTCATGACGTAAAAATTTTCATTGTATTCATGATGTACCTGAAGGGCAAGTAAATTGATTAGCAACAATTCCTAAACCACTTGGTCCACTATCAAGGCACCAAAAATATTTTTTACAATCTCGTGGGTGTGGATAAAATCCTTCCTCTTCACATTTAAAATCTAGTACAATAATAAAAAAATATTACAAGATTATAAAAATATGTACAAAACTGTAAGACAGTTTTAATTTAATTTAAATCTTACCACCACCGGGATCAGGTGTAGTTGGTGGTTCTGGAGTGGTAACTTTTTTATTCCCAGACGGTCTCTTAGTGGTCGACCGTATATTCGGCTTTTTGATACTGCCTCTTGCATCAGCATTTGCACGTGTTCTGAACCGATTTTTATTAGTAAGTGCTTGTGGCTTTGTTGTCGTATTTATAGTTGTTTCAACATTTTCATTATCTTCGGCATCAACGTCGATTAGTTCATCATTTGATATTTTCTCGGTTGACGTAGAACTCGTTCGACTTCTCGATTTAGAACGCTTATCAGCTGAAGATCTCAACGAATTTCTTCGATTCGAAGAATTGTTAGATTTTCGGCTACTACCAAATGATGAGTTTGATTTTAAAGTATCGGATACTCTGTTTCTTTTCTTAGTAGATATTGCGTTTGGTTTCTCGTCTTTTTCTTTAGTATTGCTACTTTAAATTATAGGAAAATATTGAACAGTTCCACTTACGTTTTTTATATAAAAGTATTCAAATAATTACCTGTTGTCTTCAAAAAGAGCTTCCTTAGCAGCTTCAATCAATGGATAGGGCCGTCCGTGACACTTTCCACGAAAGTCGTCGTTATCGATAGACCAAAACATTATGCCGCCAAGATTGTTTTCGTTAACATATTTTGCCTTTGCTCGAACAATATCTTCATCATCATAGCCAACCCATAGTTTATCATTGTAGGCATAAGGCCCCATAGCCTTTGGGTAAGGTTTCTCTATCGTCCATTCTTCTTTTTCTATATTCTCACAAATCTGACAAATCGATAAGTAGTTAAATTAATTTATAAAATATATCTGTACAGCAAGTAAATTTATAAAAATATATATCTTACTTCATAATAGGCTAAATATCCTTTTTCACGTGTGGCATCGCCTTCAGCACCAGGACCATCAGCGGGAGAACCAAGAGCAGTTGCATCTTCATTAAACAGAGTATAACTTCGTCCATATGTGGGGATTCCAACGACAATTTTATTAGATGATGCACCACTTGCAATTAAATGTTTAATCGTATAATCCTGTAAAAAGCATAGCTGATTATGTGTAAATAATAGTAAATTTACACGTATTTTATGGTTGCACTTACGATTGTCAATTCATTATCATAATTGTATTCATTGTCTTCTTCAATTGGATAAAGAGGAGAATGATGATTGACCGCTGGTTCATAAGCAGAATGATAATCGTATGATAAGAGATTTATAAAATCTAAATATTCATTCAATCGTGGAATATCGTAACCCTTGTCGATATATTCTATACCAGCAGGCACAGCCATTGTGAGAAGGAGTCTCGGTTTACCAGTTTTTGACGATTCTTTTTCGAATTCTTCTCGTAATTCCTATAAATTTGTATTGCAATAAGAATTGCAATTACTAACTACATTATGTAATATCTTGAATTTCAAATACCTGTACAAGATTGGCATAATTATCTTTGTCCCGTGGCTTTCCACCGTCTCTAAAGGCGGGATACTCCCAATCGAGATCTAAACCATCAAAGTGATTCTGCCTGAGAAATTTGACGACATTTTTAACCAATTTTCTTCTCCTCTGAGCGTCAGCGACCATAGGAGAAAATCGACTAGAACCTTCATTCCATCCTCCGATGGCCAATAATGTTTTTAAGTCTTTGTTGTATGTTTTCAAACCCGTAAACTTTGCATAGCCACCTAAAATATTAATTATTTTGATATTGAAAAATAAATAATAGATTCACGTCCGAAAATATTGATTACATAAAATGCAAGAATACCTTTGTCAATATCTTGATACTTGTCGAATGGCTTTAAAGTATTATCCTTCGTAAATCCTCCGAACGCATAGATCAGGTGAGTGCAAAGATAAGGATTTATGTTTTGTGGTGAAAATTTTGCTGTTCCGGGACGGTATACGGACCAATTTGTGTAATAACAGACCACTCTTCGTTCTGCATCATCTATCGAAAAAGTGTTTAAAAAAATGAAAAATATGATTGCCATTATACAAGTAACACTCCTAACTCTGTTTGCATTTCAAGCATAATAATTGACGTAATAAAATTGCTAATAAAAAAGGTAATTGTGTATATTTTACACAAAATAATAACTTTCGTTTTTTTTTAATGAACCGGTCACTCGGCCTATCCTGTCCTTGCGCACTTTAAAATGTTTTTTCCTGACTGACTTGTAAAGTTTCCCTTTATGTCTTAGTGAGTACAATTTAAATTGTGAATTCGTAGCACGCGCTCAAGTATTTTGCCGGACAAAATGCTACAAACATTCCAGTCAATTATTTTTATACGGTGCACGTGCATCTACGCTGACAGTCACCTCAATAGTTTTCCGGAGAAACTTATACGACATTTCATTGCTCAGAGAAACGAAACTACAAGCTTTAAAGTCCATTTGATGCTTCTACTGGTTTTTTTTTTCTATGAAAATAATAAGGAAGTGATAAATTGACAACTCTAAGAAAATGGATTATTTAATACAATAATAAATTGACGATTCAAAGAAAATGTATTATTATATAGATTGACTCTCACTGTTGATACCTAGTAAATAAAAAGAAACGAATGTCCGCCTACGAACGCCTGCAGTCGTGGACTTGTCCACGACTGCGGACAAAAAGTACGATGCCATTTGTCAAAATGAAACGAAAGTAAATAAAAAATTTAATTCGTAATATCAGTCGTCCGTTTCCTATAAGAAACTTACCACTTTTTGCACACGCTGTAAGCAGGATCAACAGTAAAACTTTACATCCGACAAGCGCCTTCTGTAAAAGTAAGAGATAAAAATTAATTGTTAATGCAGCGAAACACATCATTACACAATTGAATTGCGATTAACAGATAACAGTGTCATTGAAAATATACAACAGCTGAAAGTTAAATTAAGATGCAAGGAATGTTCGAGTGGCTGTATAGAAGACGGTGGATTATCCTTATAATTCAATCGGTTAATCAATTGCAGTAGTTTCTCACAGGAAAGGATATGCCCGGATATCTTGCGTATGCACAACTTCCTGCGCTCGGCGGCATCGGACAGGAAACCTTTCACATATGAGAATAATAACCGTGACGTGAATTTATATGTGAAAATCTTTCGTGAATCAACGAACCGAAATCTTCCTACTCGTTAACATTGAAAGGTTCTCTTCGACGTCGAAAGTACGTATTATAAGCACTGACGCACACTGCTTTCATCGACGAAATATTCCGAAATGAGTTACAATCACGTCAACGAAATCGTCCACTGCTCGGAAGACTGAATCATTAACGCAATAATGATATACAGTGATATAACGGACGGGCGCGTTTGACGAATTCATTAGCAGGTAGACTTTCTTACGGCTAAAGGATACATAATCGATTGCCAGTCGGTTCCTGTTACGGATACTTCGAGAAGAACGGTTTAGTCAGTATTGTTCGATCGATTTCTTTTTATACAAGAGTACATGTTTTAATTTAATTAATTTAATGTGTTAGCTTAAACAAATTCAACTGTCGTCTTACATAATTATCTGGATAATAGCGGTATTATAGTGAACAAAAGAATCGACCTTTTACACAATAAATCATTACGAATAATCGTTTGTGTATTGAAAGAAAACACAAGTGTAGGTACAGGGAAGACGATAAAGAAGAAAGTTATCGTAATTGGCAATAAAGCTTCTTTTACTACCGAAGAAAGTTAGAATAATTCTTTGATTTTTCTGAAAAAATTAATCTTGATTCGATATTTTCTATTTTATTATAGCTGCTAGGAGTATATTGAAACAATGTCAAATGAAAGACATTTTTATTTCTATTGCTTCCTTCGGGAATGAAATTAAAAACCTCATGTAGCATTCTTGCAGGAAGAGTAAAAAAAACCGCATGCTTAGTTAATGGTCCGCAAGAAAGTACACTCGACACTTACTTGTGTTGCATAGAACGCAAAGAAAAGCAAGCTTATTTGTTTCGAAAAAGTGTCGATAAAAGTTGGCCTAAAATAACAATTTACCTCGAAGTACAACAGCACCATAAACAAAAATCGCATTTTCCGCTGCGTTTAGAAGCTATAAAATCTTGCTGGGACTATGGCATTCAGCTACTTTCTTTCAAAAAAATTTTACGTTTGCCACTTAAAGAACCCATTTGGCGAAATCATCAAGAGCTTACTCAATTTTTGCGCGCGCACGCACGGGGAGCTTCCCCCCCCCCCCTCCCGCTGGTACAAACAGGAAAGAGTTTGAGAGGAGAGCGCTACGGGCTTAGCTTTCTTACACGTGTGTTTCCAACTTTCGTTTTATTTACCGCCGTCGACGGCTGTAATAACTGTGGACTTTCTTCGCCTCTATTACAGATAATCGTCGACTACGCACCTCTTTATCGCCCCTCGCGCGCGGTTCGCGTATAAAATCATCCGACGATGAATATTAATGGGCTTCGGTAACTGAAAAATGTCGGCGAGATGGTTTATTTACTTTTTTTTCAAAGCGATCTGCTTTCACCGTGGCAACGACGCATTATTTATGACATCGACGTGTAACTCAATCGATTATATCGCGCATTACATTTTTATCGACCTCGCACGTCAAAGTCTCGCGTGCACGGCAGAAACGTACTCGAACGTCGATAACCAGTTGTCGAAAAATGGTAATCGCAAGAAGTCGCTTACGGACCACGTGGGTAAAGCAGTCGATTTATACGTTACGCAATGTCGCGTATGCATACACAGACGGGCCGGACAGGCGGGGCGTTGGGGAGGAAGAGAGAAAGGCACGCTTTCACGGCGAGGCAGTGCGCGAGAAAAAGAAAGACGTAACTGCTTACGAGAAGTTGTCAGCGCGCGTCGAGGATGCCGCCGAGCTTCTTCTATAAATACATCGAATCATGAGAACCCGCTGGCTGCTGGCCAATGTGTGCGAGTGAATGACAAGCAGGCAGCCCGCCGCTAAAGAAGATCGCCGAGTGCGATGGATTTGCTTAGCTAAACTAATTGGCCGCCTGTCGACGACGTACGCTAATGACTCTATTCATTAAATCGGCTGAATTTCTTCGTTTTTCCATCTTCGAGCACCCCATCGTCCGCCGAGAAATTGGCCTTTGTTCGCGCGAGAAAGGTAAATTGCGCTCCGCGGCGTGCGCATAATGCACGTGTTTTTAACGCTAATTAGCACAGCAGCCGGCGACACGGTGTCGATAGCTAATCCTTTGTATGCTTACTGCAGGCGTCCCGCTCTCTGTCGTAAGCCCCGTGAAATTAACATTATCATTTAGAATCGGATCCGGCCGCCGCGTGGTGCGGCTACATCTTTATTTAGCATCGATGTTGCGCCACGCGCAGGTATACGCGGGTGTATAAGCTTCTGCAATCGGATATATGAAATTGGCCATGTACATCAGGAGCCTCATCGCCAATGCCTTCCACCTACAAGACTGCTTGCCGTGTGAGAACATAGGCAGCCAAGAGAGAGAGAGAGAGAGTTGTAAATTTTCAATGCCAGCATGACACACGGAATTGCGGTTCTCTTTATAGCAAAGATCATTCAAATGCATGCCTGGCTTTTGGCTGTTAAAACCTCCACGTGTGGGTGATACACAAACCGGAATGCCGGAGTGCGTGTGCGGGACCGAGGAGCACGATTTCTTTTTAACCTTTCCTCACCGGAGATGCAATGAACTCATGGAGAGTCAAGGTTGTCGTTTATATCGCTAAGCTCTTTTATATTTGGCAAGAGGATTTTTCGGCGACAGAGGATGTTATATCTGTTTGAGAACCACTCTACATTTTTTTCTTATTAAATTCGAGTGCTTTTGAGAATATACAAATGGAAAGTTACTCGGTCAGAATCGAATAAAATATCATAACTGTTCGAAAAAATCAAATATTACTTTTGCTCGAGCTATATCGGAATTCCTTGGTAGCCAACCGAGTTGTCGTTTGAAAAAGTTTTTTGAAATACAATCTCGACTAGAAAGCAGTCGAATCGATTGAAAATAAACAAATTTTCAATAAATATGTCGTGCGTGCATTAAAGACATCGATCGGAGCAAATACAAATGAACAGACTGGAAAAGAGATTGATCTATCGTGGCGAATGCCACGCTTCCGTTCAAAGTAAGCTCATGCGATAGAATCGCCATAAAGAAAAGTCTTTTGTATTCCGTACCTCCCGCGGCCCAGTAAAACTGTTTAATGGAGGTTTGTAAACCGACCAGGCAAAAATGGAGAAATCTCCCATCGTTCAAAACTAACGCTCATTGCGCCAGCGTCAAGTTCCGTATGACAGCGAGAATCCAAATGGCCGAGAGAGAGAGAGAGAGAGAGATATTGAATTTTTCCTTCTCTCTAATTAACGAGGGAACCAAGGGAAAACAACGTCGGGCGGATTTATAACCCACACAACGTACAATGGTCTTGTTGGGTCGGGTCGTGGAACAACGCCCAGGCGCTTTCTCACCCTCTCTGTACTGCTCAGCGCTAAAAAAGAGCGACAATGCAAGTGAGCAAAGAAACATGCTTGGAGGCGCTCGTGCTATGTGCCGTAACGTCTAAATAATCGAGCGCACGAGAGATAAGAGAGCACGTTTTCTCATTGGGCGTGGCGCCCTTTTC